AAGAACAAACTTCTTTCGAAACCAAGAACTCTTAGAAATTAAATAGTAATTAAATGAGATGTGAAGTGACGAACACTGTGTGGATATATAAACACGTCAAATACACATTAAACGTTTGAAGGAAATGAGGGATATTCTCTCCCCCTCCCTAACATTTTTCATTAAATATTAATTTTAATTCGCTCGAAATTTTCAAGCAAAATTATTTAAGGCTAATCATTAAAACGAGTAAAATAGTATTGCAGCATGAACCAGTGTAGCCTACGACATTTTACAAAATCTCTAATATGAGCCCTTTCTAATGTGACCCCTCTCTAATATGACCAAAATATTTTGAACTTCACCTCCCAAAATTCGTCACTGGACTCGCCTCTGACTACGATGCTGAATGAAGAACGCAGCTAAACATCTTAATTTAAGTTATTAACGAAAATGGAATTTAATTTCGCCTATAGTTAAATTTTCATAAATTGCAGTAATATAATAATTTGAACTACATAGAAAACAATAAAAACTTGTATATTCAAATAATAGACGTAAAAAACGTTTTCTCGAGATAAAGCAATCATCTCTTCCAATTCGCCACTAATACAAACGCCTTTTTTTATCACCCATGAATACCCAGAGCGTACTTAATAGAACCGCAAACTGGTCGGGTCTTCCAAGAACCCGCTGCACTCCACCTGCAAAGGCGGCGCCGAAACGATTGCGAGGCGCCTCGCTTCGCGGGAACAGGTGCCGCGGGAATCGTTTGCAGCCTGGCAGAGGATCTTCAGTGGGAGGATGGTGGCAGCGGCGGTGGCGGTCGCGGTGGCGGTGGGCGGCGATGGAATCAAATGGCCGTGGACGAGGGACCACGAGCTGCGAACGGTTGAGCGTGAAGAATGAGCGAGAAAGAAGGAAGCGAGAAATGAGAAACGAGAGACCAGGGACGAATGGTGAGAGACAATGGGCGATGAGAGAGGGGTGAGGGCGTGTGGTAATGATCGATGGTTGATAGGAGTGGATAAGGAGTGAAGCAATGACGGACGAGCAAGATGATGGCAGCCTGGTGACGAACGATGTGTGGCTGGGCGA